GAAGCAAATTTATGCCCATTACTTTCTTTGATGGCAATGCCACATGAGGGAATAAAGAAAACACCAGGTGTAACAAGTGCTAAAAGGGACCCCTGTATTCGGACACTCTTTTCTCTTTGTGATTCCCTTTTTTTTTTCTTTTCAGTCACAAAGCAATGAACTGTATGCTTTTACCAGGAGTTGCAATGATCCTTTCCAGAGAATATTTGAAATTACTGTAAGTGAAGGACTGCACATAGCCCTAAGCTGCCTTTACCTGAGTTAAACAGATGACAGTGTAATAATATTTTTGTTTTCCCTTATTGGTACACCAAAAGTATCTAGACTAAAATAGGCCTGAATAATTTCTCATACTTACCCCCATCAGCAATGAATAAATCCATGTTTTATAAAAGAAACAAGGTTGAAATCTTTTGGAGAGCTGAAGATTGCTAGATTTAATATCTGGAAGATAACTTCCATTCTGTTGTTTTCCACGCTCCAAAGTTGGCATCCTGTCATAACTAAATTCTTCCCTGTAAGATTCTTCCTTTGTCATAATGCTTTAAAGAGATAACAAAATATTCATTTTCATTTCTTTTCCAAATGTATGTTCACTGCCTTGAGTTGACCAAAATATATATATTTTTAAAAAGGTGGGATAAAAATCCAGTAATAAAAATATTAATAATTACAGTGTTCCCTGCTTCTTTTAGTATCTTCAGTTTTCTTTATCATGCAGTATTACAAACTCTAACATACATATTGCCCCACACATTTCACTGCATAGAAAGACTATGATAGATATTAGTATAGAAAGATATTAACCTCTCATCCCAGATTTATTTACTAGATGGCAAATTTTGACACTGTCAAAGAGGTTTAAGTTCCACATCAATTTGTTTTGGATTAAGGAATAAATTATTTAATAAATATATTTCTAATTTTAGTTGACTACCTTTTAAATTACTTCACAGTTTTCTATTGTACCTTACAAAATACCATGCAACTGAAAAGAGTAGTCTCTAGAAGCTGATGTAAACTGTAATAGATCTTATTAATTAGATTTGAGTAAATTTCAATGTATGAGCACAATTTCTTAATAATGACTAATTTTATCATGAACTGAATAACTATTCTTTTATGTAATGTTTCTTTAGTTTTACTTGGGCATGAAAATCAGCAAATAGTAGAAAAACGGCACAGGATCTTTACTCAACCTGACATTTCAATTGTAATTATCCTTATTGCATGACAAAATACTTTGCTATATTAGCGCAACTAATCAATTGTATGCAGTTTTTCAACTCTTAAATTACTTACAAAATAGACTGATTACTATAACTTATTCATGCATAGATCAGTCCTGCAAAAAAGCCATACATACCTTGAACTAAGAAGTTTAATAGTCAACTTTGAACAGTTTGGTGAGCAGAGCTGTCCAGATACTTTGTTATAGTCTCACTGCATAGTGATTCATGCACCCTTTGAAAATTTTGCTCTTCCACTTTGGCTTTCAACAGGATCTATTCATACAAGGAACAAAAGCACAGCAAAAAACTCAGGCAAGGGAACATAAAAATGCCAACAGAATGTTAATGAAGAGAACACACTACAAAACTACTACACCATGTTTTCACAAGGTTTTTTCCATCACAGTCTTCAAGAAGAGCTTTAAGGATTTCAAGATAAGGTTCCATGCTGCTGAGAAGTAAAATACATAATAGTGTTTAATCATATTCACGTTATGATACTGAGTAATTAAAATTTCAATCCTAATACAATTTACCGTACCTAACGTTTGAAAAGACACACATAGGTTGTCCTATGCCATACCTGCAAAATAATTACATTTTTCCACAAAATAAAAATAGTGTTGTAAAAAAAGGATCAAAAGAAAAAAGGAGTCAGGGACTTGAACATGGACAGTGACTCTATGACAGAGATTCAAATATGACCACTTGAAAGTCTCACTAATTTCAAATGTCTTTAACTTTCATTAAAATTAAAGGTCAAGAACAAGGTGTGAAAATACGAACAATATTATTATTCAGTGTTTTGATTTAGTGCATTAGGTAAGAACATTACATGAACTTCACATTTCTATATATTTTATCTGGTTTTATAGAGAGAAATTTAAAATAAAGTAAGACAAATAAATATACTCTCATAGGGAATGTAAAATGCTTTTGTTTCATTTAATCTCTCTTTGTCTCTCTACTTGTTAGGAAATTAAATAAATAAAAATGCCATCTTCTCTAAAGCTACTGGCACACTGTTAACTGGAATGATGACATGGTCTTTTGTACTGCCTTAACATTCCTTGTAACTAAGAAACAACTCAAGCACAGAACCCTGAAAAGCCATCTTTTTGTCTGTGAGAATTTTAAGAGAAATTATTTTGAGACTTTTTTTTTCTTGGCAAAAAGGAAATAGTTACAATTACAATAACTTTTAGCTAAATGCAAGCGTTCTCAAGTACTGAAATGTATTATCCCACCTATATCGCAGACCTACATATACATCCATCCAGTTGTATACATACACCAGGGCTATGTGATCCGAGTTGCAAAACTCCAAATGGCCATTAGATGGCAGCCCACATATGGTAGCTCTAACTCATTTGTTGTGTCAACACAGCCATTATGTTTCACTTATTATAGTGCCTCAGACAGCTTTGTATGCACTTCTTCATTGTGTATTAAGACCTGCTCCCAAACATGGGTTCATACATAGTACTAGGGGTATCCACAGAGTGAGGTAAAAAAAAAACTCAAGATGGTGGACACGGCAATGTGACCAAATCTCTGCTTGTTTTTTATGTGTGTCATGACCCTTCTGGTTTGCACTAAGTTAGGGCATTTTTTTTCAGCCAATAAACCTTTCAGCCAAGAACTTCTGAGAGCAGCCTATGGATAGTTTCATAAATTGGGGATGCTCTATCATGAACCCCCGGAAGGCAAACAGTTAAGTTTGCTCATTAACAGTCCCTCTAGCCACCCAAAAGTAGCTTATTTATTATCATATTTATATAGCCCCCCCCCAACTCACATAAAAGCGGACTCTGGACTTTTACCACTTCAGTATATCTTTCATTCCCCCCCCCCCGGGGGGCACACACTTTTCCCAAAA